CCTGCGACACGGGCAAGGGTGTGCGTGCACTACCTTGTGCAGTAATGTCCCGCGTCTAGCTCCCCAGCGGGAGCCGGCCCTGCCCGGGGGGCACCTCCGCATCCTCTGGGTTGGGTGGGAGCACCCCCGCCTTCCTGGTCGTGAAGGGGGCACTCGATAGTCCCGTTTCATTTTCCTTCCAGTAAGAAATCCCTCTGCGCTCTCTGCTGCGTTTCTGCCTCGGTTCTAGGAATTGTAAATGCTGCCCTGGCTCACAGAACTACTTTCGTCGTCCGACCCTCGGTGGTTATTGCCAGCCTGGCTGAGTTTCCAGCCAACACTAGGTTCTCTTCCTCTACAAAGTCTCGATTGTCAATGTGTCCTCCTGGTTTTGTGCAAAGTAGCGTTGCCTATTTAGACACTTTTCATAGGAATAGATATATGGCAGCTCAAGGTTGGACCAGCAGTATTTTTGGATGTAGTACCCAAACTAGGTAGTCTAGTCTGGTTTTAGGGCACAGAATAGCCGGTCTGGAGGAAGTTTCTGTCTGACTTGATAGGTTGGCATATTCAGCAGAAGGCCTGAACACTGTCACTAGTGAAATGTTGATGTTATTCCAACATAAGGCAAATAGTTTTATTGTATCAATAAATGCATTTTAAAATCTGCCATGCTCTTGTCTGCAGTAGGGCTTTTGTGGGAGTGAGTTAGAGGGCTCAGCTGCCAGCTCTGGGGTTAGAGATGTATTTCTTTTCATTAGTTTTTTACTTCTCAGTGTAATTGACTCATCCCTAGTCTTGCATTACCAAGGCTCACTGAAGTCAGCAGGCTTTGAGGCAGATCCCATGTAGGCAATGAGGAGATAAGGGGAAAATATGAGGAACCCTTTCAGCTTTTGGTTAAAGCCAGTTGTCCTCTGTTACCTGAACTACATTTGGGAACCTAACTATCAGTGAAGTCTAGACAGTAATCAACTATAATAAATTTTTCCTTAGCTGAAAACAATGGCAAGTTTGGCTGAGAAGACAGAAATCTTCTGCCAGTTAATCGGAAAAAAAAATGTTTATGTATTAGAAAAAAACTTGAGTGCAGTTTGTGATACTATTTCTAGACAGTTGCTTCAGTTTTTTAATGACAATGTGCCATCTGTGTTTTTCTTATGTCTTTCACAATAGCAGTGGACTTATCCCTCAGAAGAGGTAAGGTTTTTTGCCTTTTTCACCAAGCCTGCATGAGTGTTAAGTTACCAGAGAAACACGGGTTATGCCTAGAGATGTATTTTTAAATACTGCCTTTGCACTACAGCCAGTTTTAATTTCTATGTAAAATCTTAGCAGACTTTGTGATTCTGAGTACTTCACTGTTCAAAAATTCCAGTACAAAAGGTGTTTAAATTCCTACTCTTAGAGTGGCCATGCAGGCGCATACAAGAATAAAGAAAAGCCAGCATATATCCCATGGAGGGCTTTATAATGACCTGTCCTCACATTCCATTTGTTCTGAGTACCTTACAAATGTTGCTAAATGTTTTTCTTTAAAAGCATGTAGGTTAGCAGATTGCGTCTGCTGTGTGTTTGAAAATAAATATTTACTAAGTAAAACAAAACTGTTTGTTTACACAGTCTAAATATTGGGACTCTTCTGCGGAGAAACATACAAATGCATAATTTTAGATTGTGTATCTTTTCACTTTGGTCTTTGTTTTCCTTGTAATCAAAATAAGCCATGCTGCTTCATGCATGAGAAGGTCCTTGGCTTATGACAGTCTGAAAACAGACATTGTTTACTTCCTGGGCAGTCGGTAACATTACAGTGCAGAGCAATGCTTACAATTGGACTGTGTGAACACATCTTGATTCGCTGCAGTATATACTCCATGAAACTATCACATACACCCCAGAAGATAAATTATTGTTGTCTCTGTGTAAGGAGATCTCTAATTTTAGCCGTTTAAATTCCTTAAAAATAATAATGATTAAAAAAAACTTCCTTGAACACTTGTAAAGGAACGCTCTTTTTAAAAGTTTGTACATGTCGGCTTGCTCTCTGGCACAGCATTGCTTCTTTGCAAGGAACTCCTGGGGTCTTCAAATCACAGAAAATTCATGAGGGAGCTGAGAAGTGCAGGACATGAAAGAACAGTACTGTGTAGATCAACCTAAGCTGTTAAGTGGAGTAAGAAAGGTTTGGAGATGCCGTTTGCCAGCCCAGTAATACAAGAGGCTTTACCTGTGTTGTGTTTTCCATATAAACTATCATACAGCGCAAAACTCAACCAGATGGAAGTATTAGCATTCACTTTTGGAACTAAAAGGTGTAGTTTCTGTAACAGGTTTCTTTCCATTTCTGCAGGACAGACAATTTGCCGGGGTGGAACACAGCAACCATGCTACAAAATAGTTTATTTTCATGATGCTTCACGCAGGATCAGCTATGAAGAAGCCCACCTTGCCTGCAGAGCTGATGGTGGACATCTAGTCAGTATTGAAACAGAAGCAGAGCAAAGACTGATTGAAAAATTTATTGAGAGTCTCTTAGCTTCTGATGGAGATTTTTGGATAGGGCTTAGGAGGAAAATGGAGGAGGTAGACAATAGTACAGAATGTCAGAACCTCTACTCCTGGTCAGATGGCAGCTCATCCAAGTTCCGGTAGGTACTCGTGAGTGAGACTGGGAAGCAGCATGGTCAGGGACTGTCACCTGCCTTCAGCAGTCAGAAAGGATTCTTTCAAAAGAGTCAAGCAGTGTTGTCCCAGCTGTCATCTGTGTTCCTTCTGCAGTTGCTGAAGAGTGGTAGTATCTCCAGAGAGCAATTCATCCCGTCCAGATGGAAGGGGTAGACAAATTACCCTCTAGAGACCCTGCTCTCTCTTTGTTGCTCTATAGAAGACACTCAGAGTGTCTGCTTGGGCTCGATTGATAATTTTTGATTGCTAAGAGGAGGTGGAAGAACAAGCGACCTGGTCTTAAAAATCTCTGATTAAGCATGTACAAAATATGTGCTTTGACCTAAAGGTTCCTGCACTTCAGATCCCCTGAAATTTTGTCCCTGATGTCCTGAGTGATGGGTCCTTCTCCTCCTACTTGCTGAGGGAATAGCATTTTTTTCCTGTGAGATGGTAAAATTGGAGAGCTGCAGTATTTATTGTAGACTTGAGAAATAAAAAATTTCACAACACTTTCTAGATTTCTGCCTCCTTGTCTTAAGGCAACAACATTTACAGCCAACGCAAGTTTGCTGGAGTTGTTTTCCCTACTTTCACATTTCTGTTCAGCAAAGAACCGAAATATGTTTAGCCTCAAAAGTTCTTTTTATTTCAATCGTGGGTCACAGTTTTCTAGACAAAAGACATTCTTAGATCCAGGCCTACGAAGTCTGCCTTTCTGTGGTACAGAAGTTGAAAATCTGCTCTGAAAATTGCCAGGTTGATGAAAGCCTTACCAATGAGGTGCCAGCTCTACAGTGAACTTCAGGTGTAAGAGAGTTTTGCCTGGCAGATATTTACTATTGCACCTGTGATTAAAGTAATTTTAAAAAATCAAACTATACAATGTTCACTCATTATCCTAAACTTCTTGCTGCATTTACAGTGATTGAACTGCAAATTTTGTGAAATAACCCAAACATTCTTAAATGTTTTATGGCAACATGTCATATGTATGACAAGTCTGCCTTTGCATTCTTCTTTATATTGGACATGTGTAAAAATACCTTGTTATTGTGAACCTTATGCTTTGGAAACCCATAAGGGATTTTAGTTGCTCTGTGCAGGCATGAATAAAACAGAACCATTTTTAGTACTGTTCAACTTACTGAAGTTTCTCCTGTGGTTCAGATATTGGGGGTAGATAATAGGGAGCTAGAACCAGATCTGCTGCTGCTAAGAAACAGACATAGCTTTATTGCCTTTCATTGGTGACACAGAGCTTATTTATGCTAAATGCTAAAGCCAAGGAAAAGATCAGGGGCAGGGGGGCACTAGGGGAGGAAGGAAGTGAGGGAGGAATATAGCATTGTAATGATTGAAAAAAATACTGCTTTATTATGTGTGGGTTTTTTCCCCATGTTGAATACCTTGGTATATCTGGAATTATTTATATTGTTTGGATCAGCTTTCAGAAAGTGCTTGGCATGCAGAACATTGCTTGTTCCAAAATCAGTGGGTATTGAACATTTTTCAAAATCAGGACACAGTCTTAGAAGTGTTTCTCTGGGATGCATAAAATGTCTCTCAGTAACTACTGTATTACAGAGTGCTAAGTAGTGAAGCTTCTTTCCTATGTACTGCTTGGAAAGGCCTTACATAGTTTTCCAGTGGTGAAATTTATTATTAAAAAAAAAAATATCTCTGCAAGACAGGGTTTTTTCATGTTAGTGTTTTTCTAGACAGTGAAAAACAGATCCTGCTTTAGCTTTTTGATTTTCTTATTAAATAGGTGTCACAATTTTGCAGGAATTGGGCACTGAGGCCAGAGAGCAAAAATCGTTTTGATAGATGGTTTTGGACAGATCTGAAATTGTGCAGAGAAAGTGAAAGTTCTCCTGAGCTTTTACTCAGCCTCTCAGAGGCGTTTCAGGCAGTGAGGTACTCAGCCCTCCACTCCCTAATATTTGTTGAACACCTTGCTGAGTCTTCTTTGAAAATTAAGAATTCCAAAAAGAGAAGATACACTGTAAATAACTGTGTTGTTATTGTTCCTACTTTTACACAGTGGAAGCAGAGGGTGAGGGTAGGGTGGGGTGGGGTGTGTTGAGCTGTAATCCTCTTTGATTCTGCCCTCTGTGGTGCCCTGTACGCTGTATTCCCATCTGAGCTTCTGCAGTGCCATGGAAAGTGACGTCAAGTCTTACTTGACATGTTTGTTGTATATTCTTAGGAACTGGTATGTAGATGAGCCATCCTGTGGGAGTGAAGTCTGTGTTGTGATGTACCATCAGCCATCTGCCCCACCAGGTGTTGGAGGTCCTTACATGTTTCAATGGAATGATGACAGATGCAACATGAAAAATAACTTCATTTGCAAATACTCTCTTGGTAATGAGTCATTCTGTAGCTTTAAAAACCAACCTGCTCCCAATCCCCAAGAGGAGGTATGATGAGATTGCAGTAACAGATAAGGAAACCCTTTCTTAGCTTCACTGGAAAGATCTGGTAGAAGACAGATATCTTTAAATTTATACAAGGCCTGGGGAAAACAATCTCGGTATCTAGTATCTGTAGCTGCTTGCCTTGTGACTTGTATGAATTCTCAGGGGATTTTTATAAAGTATTTGAGATGTCAAATGGGGACTGAAGGAGAGAGAACACTAAAGGGTGTTTATGTTATGAGACTATGTTCAGTACATTTGATCTCCCTACTCAAGCTTAAGAAGAAATTGTGCATATCTTTTTTCTTTTAGAGAAGCCAACGAATGCTCCAATAGAGAATTCTCAAAAAGGTAAGTTACAGATATTTGTTTGGGGCTTTTTTTAATGATATGCTAACTTTCTGTAGAAATACTCTTTGTTACATTCATTGTCAAGGACACTCACAGACTGAAAACCTACTGAGCAAGAAGCTTGCCTGCAGTTTGCACTTTCCTCGTGCTATTCTATAATCCATTCTGGAGGAACACAATCTTGCTGTTACTGATGCAGTATCTGGGACCGCTGGTCATGCTGCAGAAATCTAAGCAAAAGAGTACCAGTGCACCTTACACATCTTTGCAGCCAGCAGTCTCTTCAGTCTCCTCTCACTCTCACTTTTTATGGTTCTTAAACTCTTTGAAATAACATCTGCGCTATTAATTAAGCTGCTTCTTTCCAGATGTTGTAACAGAGCCCTTGAACCCAGTATTCCCAGAAGAACGGCATAAGAAAGATGCTAATGTAACAGTTGTAGAAACCAAAGGTATGTTGTGCATGCAACAGCTGGCCTGTCCTCTCTCTAACTGTGCAGGTCCACATTTCTCATATGTGGCTGCAAACAGTCAACATTTCAGTTTGAAGTGTTTCACCCTAAGTGTAGAAGACTGAATTTAGACAACTGCACGTGGAAAAAAAAATACCTTCCCTCAAATCTTTTCCAGTACAAACCTAAACTGATTGCTTTGGCTACCAAAATATTCTAAATCTAAAGCTGTGCAAAGTATTTTGGGTCTGAAAAGGATACTTTTAAATTACTGAATCACTTTTTAATGTCTAAATTGTTACTGGTTTGTTTGGAAGTCTATTATTAACTATGAAAAACTTTTTGTTTCTTCTTACCACACTGACTTCCCCCCTACAAATTTCTGGATCATAAAAGACATTTTGTGCTCTGAAATCTTTTGGCTGGGGGTTCCTAAGCTTTTAAAAGACAGCATATCTCATTAACTTGCACTACCATTGCCTTCTTACAGTGAGACAATGAGGCTTGTTAGTTCCTCATCTTGAAGATTTGGGCTTATTTTACTTTAACCTGCTTAACTAGATGATTGGTCTCTGTTAGACTTGCTGCCTTTGAGAAGAAGTAGATACTGCTAGATTATGAACAAGACTAGAAGCCCGTTGAGGTGTGATGATGCAACTTTTTTTGCAACTGTTAGTTTTTCTATGAAGTTCTGTCTATGTGGAATGCAACTGGACGTGAATAAAAGCCGGAATCTCATTTTTGCCCCTAGAACCTTTTCAGAGTCTTGCCTACATCCTTATTCCCGGCGTTCCTGTGCTGCTTCTCCTGATAGTCATTACAGCCATCTTCTGGTTTTGGCTTTTTGTGAAGAGGTAAGTGACATTTTTGTGTAACAAGTGAACCTGTGATATCTTGTCCTGGTAATCATTTTACAACTAGCTTCAGGATCCTGTAAGATGCTCTGGAGAATGATTTCAGCCACATGAATGTTTAAAAAGTGGCATGGATGCTCCAGGTGAAGTTACTTGTGAAGTAAAATTTTAAGTAAATCACATTGTGCCGTTTTATTACATTCACAGACATAATGTAGTTAGGGGATAGTGTAAAACAAGATCATGATTTTGAAGTGTTGGCACTTAAGTTTTCTTATCAAAGAAAATATTTGAAATATCGAAAGATCCCCTTCAAAAGTGAAAAACATAGTAATAGAAATAAAAGGATACACGTTTGAAGCAAGTAACGTTTACCAATTTCCTCTCCTTGCTTCCCCTGTGTGCACAGTACCTCTGGCGGGGATGCAGGCTGTGGTTTTGGGAGCATCAGTGTCAAGTTCTGCTGCCTCAGCATCACAGTAGGGTGCAAGGGGTACCTCAGCAGGTCCTGCCATGGGATGACCCCAGGAGTGCAGCCTACTGCCACAGACCTGGAATGGCAAGTTAATAACAAATGTCATCCTGAGTCCAGGCTCTGAGTGTCAGCTTTCCTCAAGGGTCGTCGTTAAATTACTGTAAGAGTGATGTGGTAGTGTGTTGTATTTGCCTGTGTAAAAAAGCATATTATGACTTGTCCTCTTTCCTCCATCCCTAAGGAGACAGGAGCAAAGAGAACCAAGCCCAAAGGAGGAAGATGCATGGCTGTCTAACCTTAGGAGGAACAGTCCAAATCTGGATATTTACAAAGTAATCAAGAAGCAGTCAGAAGCAGATCTGGCTGGAACCAGGCCTGATGCTAAGAATTCTTCCTTCCGTATGCAAGAAGATAAGGTGCTTGACAGCCTCTCCAGGGATTATGATGATGCAGCAATAAATACATCAACGAGTGGCTTTGTGACATTAGCCAGTACTGAAAGTGGCTTTGTGACCAACGATATATATGAGTTATGTGGAGATCGTGTGGGGAGGAGCAAGGAGTCGGCCTGGGTGGAGAATGAGATTTATGGATATTAAGGAAATGGACAAAAAAAGCCTGAAATATGGATGACAAAGTGACTATCAATGCAAGTTAACCTGCCCTCCCTATGCATTTGTTTTAATAGTAGTATATGTGATGCTTATCCTGGTTTTGCATTGTCCTTTATTCTTCTCCCTTTTGAAAGAATATGGGTTTTTAAAGATCCAAACTGAAAAGAATGTATATATTCTGCTTTGCATCAAGTCCCCTTAGCCCCAGCAATGGCTTGTTAATACTCTTGATTATTTTTTGTACTCCAAAGATAAGCCTTTGAAACTAAAGGACAATCCCAAATCCCTATTTATTTAACTGACCTACTCATCTTCAAAGGTGTTAAAAGTCAATCACTGGTCACACTTGGATTCTCATAGGTGTCCCCAAGAAAGCTACCATGGTTGCAAGTTGGTTGTTATTCCCATGTCAGCCCATATCCCAGCTGTGCTGGCCTCGCTCAGCATCTGCCTGTGATGCTGACAGACACTTCACAAGAAGGAGAGTAGTGTGGTTTCTGCTTCTTTGCCTCTCTCCTAGTTCTTACTGCAAGGCAGTGTATGTGAGATACAGTACATAACTGTGTATTACTTATGCCATTAGGTTGGTTTTTAAAGAATCCCAGTAAGTGCTTTGATGTCATAAGGCTAACTATTTTCCCCTACTTATCCTCTGGCAAAAGGAATTGAAAAGCAATGAACAAGGGACTTCTCTGCAATGCTAAAAGAAGGGAATGGGGTACTCCAAAGGATTCTTGATTTGTCTCTGGAATTACAGCAGCCTGGTTAGCTGTCCAGAGATGTGCTAATGTGGCCTAAATGACAAACTGAGCACCAACTCCTTTCTTGTAGAAGGAATAGCCAGTTGCAGTTTTATTCTAGATCTTTTTTCCTCCTTGGGCCCATGACATGTACTGAATTCCATGAAGACTGACATCCTGGTGTTAATGTCCATAGAGATGGGACTTATGAAAAGGTAGGTGAATGTAAAGAATTGGATTAAAACCAGCGTTTTGACAGGTGAACTCAAGTATCATGCTAATCAGTTATAATAAATTACCTATTCTCTGTTTACAAGGACTTCACATATTCCAGTACATAGATTAAACAAGTATTGAGGTGAGGTACTGAGGATATGTTTACAAATAAAAGATTCCCCCCACTGAAATGAACAGGCACAATCCATTTCTGTGCTCCCCAGCTGCTTCAGGCTATAGATGGACAACACAGCATTGTTTTGCACTTTCTGCTTTTTAAAGATGTTTGTCCTTACCTGAACACATTGGTGCTAAATGGACATGTGGAGTCTGGAGCACAAGTTCTGCAGCAAGTGGTAAATTCTAAGGCAAAGTCAGTGGCCATGAAGTACTGATAGCAGCAGTGTGGCCTCTGCATTTTTTTCAGTACAGAGCTTGTCTGAGTTTATGTGAATTGGGTCCAGCTGTTAATATTGAAGTCATGAATATGCTTAGAGGTTTGCACTCAGAGCTGCATAACTTCTTGCTAGGGATTTTTGCATGTTCATAGCTGTGTGTGTGTAGAAAGCACTGTAAAGTTAGGCCATTACCAGGTCAGACAGGACAGATAAATGTTATCTCAGCTGTTTCATACATTGGTTTATATATTCTCAAGGCAAATATGTTCAGCTTTGAGTAAACCAGCACATTTTGCTTTGTCTGCACTTACTATGTTTTCAATTATTCCAGCAATGGAGCTGTTCCTTAAAAATGGAGTTTTCTTTGATTGTATCCCATTGAACTGAGAAAGAAGTGGGAGTGCCACATAGACAACCAAACACTGAACGTCTGGAAGCTGGACATCTGCACTGAAGAAAAGAAAGCATTTAGGACATTATCATGTATCTGGGGCCATTTGGATTCAGCTCTAAGTCTCATCTTGACTACCGAGTGTCTCAGTCCCATGTGAAAAACAGAAATAACAGCATTTCACAGGCTTCCAGGGATGCCTGTAATCTAAAAATGAGTGGCTCTAAGGTGATTTTGAGACTACAATAATGAGGTCTTGTAATTGACAAAATTTTAGTTTTATTGTCCAGCAGATATGTGCAGCAATTTTGAAGCATGCCTAGACTAAGTCATTATGTATAAAAATTTGATTAAAGATATGGTTTGGTTGAGCAGTTCTGGTACCTGGCCCTGCGTATAGCAAGTAATCTTTTTTACTTACTCCGTCAGATCACGTTTGACCTTTTCACAAGTGAAATAAAAATAGTAAATGCCTGTTTATCTATCTGTCTATGTATAAAAAAAAAAAAAAACCCACAACACCCCAGGTTTTGCCATTCTGTATTGGTTGCAGTTATATCAACTTTTCAACAAAGCTTTTGTCCATAGATCTCAGTCAAGCACAGGACTTCTGAACACAGGAGTAGTTACTGCGATAAGACAAGAACTACTGATCACTGAAGGTAGTCCTCAGTGTTACGATTTAAACAGCCAAGGGAAATTTTAAGCTTTAGATCTCTGTCTAGACTTCTCAAATCATTAGTTCAGATTTACTTAGCGGGGTCTTAAGCAATCTTGAAGATTGCCATGTAACTCTCAGCCAAACACCCCTATTTAATAGCCTGCAGTGTTGTGGCAAGGAGGGATTTCTGTTCATCTCCTTTCCCCAGTTGAGTACTTACTTTGTTTAGGATACCTTGTGTACACTGTGATGGAGAGAAATATGATGTGGGAGTCAAGTGCCAGTCTTCTGCTGGGTAAATTTTGCCTGAAGGCATACGAGGTGTAATGCAGAGCTAAAAGAAAGGTGCAGGTTGAGGTGATCCTGACACTGTGAAATGCTTACTGAAGCCAGAACTCTTCAGAATACATTGTTAAAATCACAAAGAGTTCTATGTGCTTTGTCCAGCTTTACACTAGGGATTTGCCAAATGGTTTTGCATCTACCTGGTTTTTGGGTTTGATTTTTCTTCTTTGATCAGAGAGGTAATGGGGGGACAATAACCAAGCAAATAAAGCATGCCAAGCAGGAACACAAATATTACCCACCTATTGCTCTGCAGGTGAGTATTTCTGCCTCCAGGAGAGCAACATTCTGCTGCCAAACAAGTCTGTCTGTGAAGCACCTGAAAAGAATTTAGCTCTTGACAGGTTTCCCTAAAAGTTTATTCTTCTCCATTGCATGGAAATAAATAAATAGGAAAATGAAGCAAAACCGATTTGCATAAGCCACCAGGAAACAAAGATGTGCCAAAGGCTTTGGCAGAAGGTGTTTCATGTGGGACTGAAACAACAACACAAACGAGTGCATGACATGGCCTTGAGTGCACTCTGCCAATGTAAATACGCAGGAAGACGTTTCTGGATCTGTGTGTTATTGCTGTCTGTTGCAAACATGGAAATATTTCAATCAGTTGTCACAGCTGCTTCTCTCACTTCCTGAATATTATGGGTGTGGTTGATGTGCACAATGACTTTGTCCTGCTTATCTGCAGTATTACAGTGTCTCCCAATCTCACACTGTTCCTCCACCAGACAGTGGTGCAAGATGAAGCCCTGAAAGAAGTAATCTCTTTAAAAAACCAAATCTTCTACCTGTTTTGAAAATGACACCCAGTTAACAACCATTTCTTCTGAAAAGCAAAATCCTGGTATAGGAGATCAGTCATTGCTGGGCGCTTGCAATGCCTGGGGTTTCTAATGCGGTAATTAGTGTTCTTTTATCAAGTAATTATGTGTCTATCCACTTTTACTCTTGTATGCTTGATCTCTTCTCT